TTTTCATTGAATTTACTCAGTCTTTGAGCATTTGTTGTGGATTCTTTCTTTGAGTACATAAACTGATCTTCCTGTTCTTACCGCTCCTTTTTAACGCCTTTAGAACATGCATTGTATTAGAACTCCTGATGACTCTCGATGCATATTCAAGTGAAAACAAAACTGGATGTCCAGTTATCAATCCAGAGTTGGTGTCATCTCAAGTCCTCGTTGTGTTAACAGGTGGATATTCTTTTCCACTGTGCACCCGTGTTTTCCGCTGTCTTATTTAAACTTCGACGTTGCTGATCACTGGTACTTTGATCAATGAAGTTGAAGGACGTTAAGTTGCGATATTCCTACATAGTTTGCGCTGTCCCCATTCCAGTCCTCATTGGCTGTGTCCTCTACACAATCTACGAAAATCCCGTCGGTCTTGATCGAACGCACTGTGCAGTGAGTGGTCGCTTTTATGTCATGTTCTCTAGATCCCCAACTACATTCCCTCTGTTAGTGCTGCTACAGGCGTGGGCTATCGCAAGTTCTTTTGGACTGCATCTATCAGCTCAAGTTGTATAATGCGACTGTTTCTTCACACTGCTTATCACCATGCAGTTGGGGATCTCTTAGCTTCTGCAAGTTTTATGAATAAAGACTGCTCCTTACTGTGCCACTCCTGTATCCACTTTACTGAAATCCTGGGCCTTTTATTGCTCACTATCTTCTCCTCCACAGAAAACTTCCGTAAGTTCATTTCATTCTGTTTTACGACCTAATTATTTGTCTATTCCAGCTATTCACAGAAATGGCTTCGGTCTCTTTGTCTCATCATCCATTATCTACGGAATCACTGATCTATACTTACTCTGGCGGTTGAGAAATTTACGAACTTTTGACAATTCTGTGGTAGGTGTTTTTCTTGTTAACCAATATGCTTTTTTCAGCAAAAAACACTACATCGGAAACGCTGGACCTACATTGTCATGTTCACCTCCGTCTTCCTAGCTATGCTCTTCTACTTTTTACACTCTACTTCTTGTGCTCATACAAGTAAGTGTACCTCTTCGAGAGATGGTTGCCTTAACACGCTTTTGAGCTTTGCTCGTTAACGAAGCTTAAGTGGTAAACGTTTGCGCTAATTTGAACGAAAACATGGATCGGCGACTACGCCAAGTGCACTAAGTTACTTAGAGCAAGTTGGTCGATAGTGCCAGCTTATTCTGTATGACATTGGAGGAGAGCAAACACTTGACAGTAACATCGCTCTGAACTTAAGTCCGCTTTTCGGTTATTCCTATTCATTTAGTGCGATCTGTCTGTTTTCATCAGATTTTGACTGTCCGATGCGGTCGCCGGTCTTAGAAAGTTTCAAGCCGTACCTCTGTTAGCACATGCGATGGTAGCTCCTAGATGTTTCCTATGCAGCCATTACCGAAACAAGTTTCACTGCTGCACCGCATGCTTTCCAAAATATCTGTTAGTTGTGGCTTCCGTTTTCTCCGTGTAGTTTTGCCGTGCCCCTGTTGGTGGAATCACTTTATATCACCGTTTCATCGTTACTAATATTTACGCACTGAACAATGACTTTTACGGCATACGAGGAGCAAGATTTCCTATCAGCTACTACATTGAAGCCAATCTTCAATCCTTTTGACCCTTTCCTGTTAGTGAAACCCCATGAATTTTGAAGGGCCGAGTGAGATGGATCCGGTGCAGGTCCCATCATTATAATCCAGTTCACACGCGGAGCATCAGTGCTTCTCGGGGTTGTGGGCGAGTTGTCCGGATACACTTAGATAGAACGTTGATGAAATGCGTGAAGGGACTTTAACCTTACCGGAGTATTGTTAATGTCATACAACATGTTGTGTCCTGTTGTCTGATTTGTAAGTTCGCTTTAGGACCTGCATATATATTCGTGTATCGTATAGTTGAAGCGGACTTACAGACCAAACCTTAAAATGAGTACTACTAACACCCATCTAATGGAGAGAGGTGTTCTTAACGAAGGAATATCGCCCAGGCTTTCATTCGACTTTGATGTCGGTGCACAATTTTCTTGTTTTGACCGCAGGCATAGACACGAGTCTTGCGTGCCTGTATCGAAACCCAAGGGATTTAACTATACCGCTGAGTACCAGAGTAGATTCCCCCTCTTCAGGCTTACTTCGACCGGCCGACCGTTTGACTGTGAATATTATATGGAATTTAAAGCGCAACTTTTATAGCAAACCATCAAAGGAAAGGACAAGTCAAATAATTTTCTGTCTGTTATACTTTCATGTTTAATCCAAATTAACTTGCTTATGCCAGTACTTATATGCACCTCCGCAAGAATAGCTACAGAGGACTTTTCTCATTAATTTGACCGAATTATCGGCCCCTATTTAACCTCTTTGTTTGTCTCTCGCATGCAGTTTACTCTCTGTTTGGCCTTTCGGAGTTGGTTTTTATCTTCGCTAACACCTACTACCACTTCCGGGCAGTTGATATCATTGGAGATGTTTCGTGCTCCAATCTCTTCACCTCCAGCCGCCTGCATTTTCCTTCCCCTCGGAAGACCCTTCCCTATGGCCTGGATATCTGATCCAAACTTACTTTGACACATAGAGCGTCTGGGAACCAGACTTTTAACTTATTAGTTTTTCGTCCCTTCACCTGCTATTACATTCGTCCTGCGTGTGACAATCTCACTGGTCCGACCAACAACTATTATGTGAATTGCGGGTCTGTCTTTCAGCCTTCCCTGTATCATTTTCATCTTGAAGTTTGTCTTTTTTAATATGTAATGTTTAAAAATGTTTGACAATGACAAAAAAGTGCGCAAGTGGTCGTCAATCCTGTTTCTTCTGTGTTTTTAACGAACTGCTTCCTATACACACTATCTTATTGCGCTCCCTAAGTATCGGCGTAGTGTTTGTCTCTGGTTTGCCCGTTTGAATAATATTTGGCCGTACAATTTCATCCTCCGCATTGGGATATTCTGATGATTGACTAGTCGCGTTAACTCCGAACCTTTAGACTGCCGGGGCCTGCAGATTGACGTTCAACAAACACTTGAAACGTTACTACTTACTCGCTTGATAGTCTGTGTTGCAGTCATTCACCTTCGTGGGTTTTTATGATTGACGCTAGAATATGGACCCAGGTTGTTGTTGGCAGTTGAACGCTATAGTTAATCGAAAGCCCAGATTAGAATTGCATCCACAATTTTGATGCTTCCTTAAATGTAGCTTTTCGGGTATTTGCATTTTCGGATAGCGGAGTGGGCGATACCCAGTGATAGTATCTGTCAGTTCTTGTATTTACTGGTTCATGTATGATGGATGTCTTCTCGTCGCTGACATTTTTCACAAGCATAAACGAAGAGCCTTTGATTGCATTGCTTGTCTACCTTGATGGTGATGTATAGTGCACGGTTCTTGAAGGCACGCATCCTTTAACAGTCGTGGAGCCTTCCAGCGCTTCAGTAATAAATTTTAGTGTCGGACCTTCCTTTCAGTAAACAGCTGTTATACTGATGGGGAGAATGGGGCCAAAGAATGCGTATGCAACTCAGCTTACCGTATCTGTTGAGCAAATCCATTTGGGGCGGATTGGTAATCGAGCATACAGGTATGCATGTGGTCATGCTGGTGCCTCGCAATTAGAGTGGAGTTTTTCCGAGAATGCATTTCTGTCGGATGTTTCTGTGAGACCGAAGACCGACTTTATGGTCCGTTTTGTTGCCGTTCTGATACCGAAGATCGTTTCATTCGTAAGTGTTTGTGGGAGTTACGATGCCTCCTAGGCTAGTGTTCCATATATACTGCGAGTCAACTAAGATGTTGCCACCGATTTTGAATACGGAAATCTGTCGGTTGTTATCGCAAACTCGTCGTTCTACTTTCTGCACCACTTGCAACACTAATGCCAATTGATTAAGTACTTGAGGGTACTGTGTTTGCAGGCCTCAGTGCCAGTCGAATCGGCATCTGTGACTTTCAGAAGGGTAGGTGTTGGGGTTTATTGCTACATGATGGGCTCACTCCGTGTGGACTTCCATTGCCAAGGATGCCTGCCAGCAAAAGTTTCAGTAGATGTAAATTGCACAGGTTGAGTTTAGCGTGAAAACTATGCTGTAAGATAAGGGAGGTGATCAAACCAATATTAGTACCATCCTCAACAAGTTTGGCGAGGGTGTGCTATTGGACTTTGTCTGTGATGGCGCGAGGAAGTGTTTTGACGAAAATGCCCTTTTTAAACCTTTCATGAAACGGTTTTTCGCCTCGAAACTTCTTGATGGCGTTGCATTGCGGCATGAGACCTTGAAGCAGAATCTAGGGAGCAAAAATCCACATTACTGCTCATCACTTATTTATAATGAATTCTGTTCGATTGTCTCTGTAAATTATCTACGCTACAATCAGTAAGCTT